GGCCGAATTTACGATTTTGGAAATGATAAGTGCTTATTTACTTAAAAATGAAGAGTGTTGGTTTACCAATCAAGAAATTAGCAAAAAAAAAAAAAAATGAAGAGAATCTGCACCAGAAATGCAAAAAAAAACTATTAATTTGCCAAAGAAATGAAGAATGAGATACGACACCCAAAAAAAATACATTTGACGAAGCAACCAAATGAGATACTCGTATGGCAATTGCTCCTCCTTTATCATTCAAGACAAGTTTAATAAGCACCCAAAATTTCAATCAAGATTCAACAATTGATATTGCAAGGAGATGAATGAACCAAAAAGATTATATGCGCCATATGTGAAAAAAAAAGTGGCCGTCACCGCACCAGAGAAGCTTTGGGTAACTATATTATAGAAGAAACTCGGTCAGGGGTAAGGATATGATATTTGCTTCTGCTTTCATAAAAATTTGGGTTTATAGCAACAAAAATCAGAATTTTCTATTCTAACAAACAATTTCGAACAAACAACCAAAACTTAATGATTCAACAAAATATCCGAGAATGAAGATGGGTGGCCATGGAAGCTTTCTTCGCTGGTGTTTTTGCTGATTTCTTGACAGGAGAAGAATAGGATGTAAGTTGCTCATGAAACCCCTACGCGTCAGAACGAGGATAAAATGGAAATCATCAATCAGTTCATGCGTCTGAACGGTAAGGAGTATTAAAACACGGCTGAGCGAATAAGTCAAGAAACGGTTGAGAGAATAAGTCATAATTTTAATAAAGTCACAAGTAAACTGAATCATTAAATGGCAGTTCCTATTAAACATCACGATATAGCTGAATCATTAAGTGACAGTTCCTATTAAGGTTATGTTTGGCATGGCATTTCAGCTCAAAATGAGCTGAAATTTCTGAAATTCAGTTCATTATTGTACAAATAAAATCGTTTGGATAGAGGGCTGAACAAAGCTTTGGCTGAAATAAAGCATCTGAATCAAAACGCTATTATAAGAAACGTTTCTATTCAGCCTTCCACACAACAACTTGCAATCCCTAAATTATCACCGATTTCTTCTGGTCTGGTGTCTTCCGTGCAATTATAATCTCAGTCCACAACTCATATTCCTAATTGCGATAAAACATATCATTACCATATCTCATTTGATGGTTTCTACTTTAGTACTTCCCTGCAAATTTCTTCTTTTAAAGTGTGAATTTTTTAACCCAAGAGAAAAAGTAATCACATCACAAAATTAAACTCATTTGATGGAGTGTTTGGATACTCAGTATAAAATTTCTTGATGCTTTTATGACAAGAGGAATCCTCTTGTTTGTGGTATGATTTAATTCAATATTTTATACTCATTTGATGATATTCATACTCCCTCCGGATTTGTATGTTCCCTTACATTTGCTTTTGGTACAATATTTTAGGATAGAATAGTAAGTGTAGTGAATAGTGTAGAAAAAGTAAAAGAGGGTGTGTAAAAGTATGAAAAAGAAGATAAAAAGTGGATAAAGTAAGGGAAATTTCTTGAAATGGGGCCAAAAACGTTTGTAAATTCCAAAATAGGACTGTCATGTTTTTATTCTCAAAATAGAAGTAATTACTATCAAGTTTGGAAAATATTGCCATGTTTAAAGTCTGGTACTGCCAAAACATGACATCAATTAGTCCCATTTTGGGAATTAAAAACATGGCAGTCCCATTTTGGAATTTACAAACGTTTTTAGTCCTATTTATAAAGGATAAAAGTTACAAAAAATAGAATTGTAGGGAACTTTAAATACGGAGGGAGTAATATTTAACCGTTTAAAAAAAAGGAAAAATTGATAGTAATAAACTCAACTATTGGCGGTCCGCTCATAATAATCCCAACTATCGATTATTTCAGAATAATCCCAATTTTAGGGACCTTCCGCCAATAGTGGTCCCTATAAATAAATTTATGTAGTTTCTAAAGTGGATGAGGAGTGATATAACAAGTAATTCCTATAAATAATCTCAACTTTTAATTTTTACACTTAATTTCTATTTAAAGTTTACTTTTTATAGGAGGTAATATCTGACCATGAACCATTATTGGTGGACGATCCATATAGTTGGGATTCTACAAAAATAATCAATAGGTGAGATTATTATCAGCGGACCGGCAATAGTTGGGATTATTATTTTCAATTTTTCCTAAAAAAAATCAGCGGTGTGTGCCTAACTCGATTTTTAGATTATTGATGTGTGGGTATTCTACCATCATATTTATCAAAACATTACAGTAATTTATTTATTTTATTTAATAATACGTACGTAGTAGGTAGTATATTCTAATATTTATAAAAATACAAAATATCATTATAATAAATATGTTATTATATTAATAAATTGTATGTCCTTTAATGTAATTTCATATTATTCGGGCATCATTCCAGCTCTTTTTGCCAAATGGATCTACTTCATTCAGCTAACAATTCAGATCCAGCATTTCAAAATTCAGCTCCAGACAATAGTCCTTCATTTAGACAATAGCCCGTAATTCAGACAATCTATATGAATTAGTTTTTCATCCCCGTTCTAGAAGTTGGAGCATCGATATAAATTATTATTCAATGAAATTTCAGTTTCAAAAGATTTCGAACTCTCACTCCCTTGCGTCCATAAATAGGTTTTCGATGAGGTTCATCATCTTTTTCACGCAGTCTGCTCAGGAGTTTTGTAGGTGTTGGAGGTATTGGTCCTACCAAGGCCTCCCTTCCACTTTATTAGCTAAGGCTTGCACCCTATTAATTTACTCCCTCTTTGACACCTTTACCTTGGTATATTACCTGATCAATAATATACCTGGAATCTGCCCCATTGCTTCTGTCCGCTGCACCCTCTCTTTTGGCTTGGCTTATACCCGTGAGTGTCCTTGGCCATCTTGTGATTGTCCTTGTTGTCTGCCCATAGGCTGGCAGCCTACTATAAGTCAACCCCCCCTTTTCTTTGTGAATTAAGCCTGCGAGAGTAACAATTCTATTGAGAGCAGTGTCTTCTTTCTTCCTCTTTGTGAGTTCCTTTGTGGTTAGAAGATGAGAGTTGAGAGATAGGTGTGCTATAGCCTCCTCCTAGTGTGGTGTGTGAGAGTGTGTGTTGAAAGACCTGAGCCGGAGACGGAATCCATACCTTACAGTGGTATCAGAGCCGGAGTTCGCCGTCTGCCGCCGTCCGCCGCCGCTGTCCGCCGCCGCCGTCCGCCGCCGCCATCGATTGGAGCTTGCTGGAGTTCCCTAAGGCCTGGTTCTTCGCCGTTCGCTGCCAGGAGGTTGAAATAGACTTCCTCTGACCGAAGCTTGAAACCCTCGCCGGAATCTAAAGCTCCGCCGTCGTCGTCGGTGAGCCCTGTTACGTCACCTGGGAGCTCCGCCATCACAGTTGCAGGAGCCGCGTCGCCGGAGCAGAGAGCTGGCCAGAGGGCTGGCAAATCGTCCGAAGTTGAAGCCCCATCACCGCCTCCTGAAAGCTCGCCGGAATCCACCACCAGCCGTCACCTTGAACCTCGCCGCCGCTGGAAGTTTGCCCGTCGCCTGAAAGCTCGCCGCCGCAGGGTGTTGCTCGTCGGTCATCTCCAGTCACTGGCCCTGGAGTAGCTGGAGCCGAGGTTGGATATTCGTCGGTCTTCCTTCGCTGCAGGCCTCGCGTACAAGAAACGCCAGATGCGTTCTTACTGAAGGAGCTGCTGGACCGATGATGATTTGGACTGCTGGAGCAGTCTGTTGAGGCTCTGGGCTATTGGGCCTTTTTTGGACTGCTTCTAGAGTTGCTGGATAGAGCTGGACTTGGCTGTTGGGCTGACTGGAGCTGCTGTCTTGGACTGGAGCTGGGAGCTGGGAGCTGGGCTGTTGTCTTGGACCGGGCTGGAGCGGGTTTGCTGACCTGGACTGCTGAGGAGCTGGACCACCAGTCAACTGCCGGTCAACCGCCGCTGGTCAACGCCGGTCAACGCCGGTCAACGGCAGTCAATCCTCCAGAAAAAAAAATCCCAATTTTTTTAATTTGGGTAGGTAAGGTTGAAACGCTCTCCTAGGATTTCGCGAAGGTAAGTTTTCAATAAACTTCCTATTTATAGCATTCCGGTTTTAATTTAATTTAATTTAATTTTTTTCCCCTCCCCGCGGGCCGCCGGTTGATTTAATCCCGGCCGCCAACCCCCCAGGTACGTACTAAACTTTCTCCTTTGTGGTAGTTTGTTTTAGTTAATTAATTAAATTACTTTGTGTCATTTAATTTAACTGTTATGCGTAGGGGTGGTTTTATTGGGTGGTAGGGGTAGAATTAATTAAATTTAATTTTTCTGTCCAGAATTGTTTAATTGCCAAAATGTCCATTTTTTGCTATGTGTTGCATGCTGCCCGGGGTTATTAAAGTGAATACTTTATAACCCGGGTTGGATTATTTTCTGTCAATTCAGTCTGTTTAGCTTTGTGTTCCTTTTGTGGTTGATACCATGGCTGCAAATCAGTATGGTATGCTTCCATTTAATGGAAAAACGGATTTTGATATTTGGAAACAGAAAATAAAGTGTGTTTTAATACAACAAAAAGTTTTCAGAGCTGTCACTGGTATTTTCCTTGAATCAGAAGATAAGGCTAAGCAAATTGAAATGAACGAAACTGCTTGTTCTACTATTTACTTGAATCTGTCTGATTCTGTGCTTAGGAAAGTGGGTATTCTTGAGTCCGCTAAGGAGTTGTGGGAGAAATTGGATAGTCTCTATACTGATACCTCTTTACCAGGGAAGTTGTTCTTGCTAGAGAAATTCTTTAGGTTTAGGCTTGACCTGACTAAGGATATAGATGAGAACCTGGATGTGTTTAATAAACTGATACAGAATATCAAACAGGCAGGTGATAAACACATAGATGATTACACTCCCATAGTATTACTTAATGCCATTCCCGACTCTTATAATGATGTTAAGTCCGCTATTAAGTACGGTAGGGATGAGATTTCGTTAGACATTGTTGTGAATGGGTTAAGAAGTAAGGAATTAGACCTGAAGCATGCTAGGGGTAGTGCTAGTCAGTCCAGGGACTCCGGTGAGGCTATGTTTGTTAGGGGTAGATCTAAGGGTAGGTCTAAGAACTCTAAGCAAAATAGTCAGGGTAAGAACACTAGTCAGCCTGGGAGGAAGAGGAGTAAATCTAGGAAGAGAGTGTTACAATTGTGGTAACACTGGCCATTTCATTAAGGATTGCCCCCACCCTAAGAAGACCGAGCATGCTAGTGTAGCTGTTGATAAATGTGACCTTGGTGATATTTTGATGGTTTGTGACCATGTTAATTCTGTGAGAAATTCCCTGTCTGAGCATGAATGGTTGATTGACTCTGGTTGTACCTATCACATGTCCCCCTTTAGAGATTTATTTTCTACTTATGAATTATGTGATAGTGGCTACGTTTCCTTAGCTGATAATAAGAGATGCAATGTGCTTGGTGTTGGTGATATATGTCTGAAGTTTTCTTGTGGCTCTGTGTTTACCATTAAGAATGTGAGGCATGTCCCTGATTTGTGTCATAACTTGTTATCTGTTGCTGCTTTGGAGAGTAGTGGGTTACAGGGAAAATGGGGGAATGGTTGTATGAAAATCCTGAAAAACTCGCTTGTTTTGTTTAAAGCTGAGAAGGTGAATAACCTTTATGTGTGCCATGCTAAACCTTTTGCTGAGTGTGTGAATGTTGTATGTTCTGATAAGACCTCTTTGTGGCATAATAGGCTAGGACATATGAGCAATAAGGGTTTAGATGTCATGCGTAGGGCTGGTTATTTTGGTAAGGACTCTGTGACTTATGTGCCTTTCTGTGAATCATGTGTGTTAGGAAGCCATCTGGCTCAAACGCCTTGTCTCCGAAATTGGGTTTCTCAAAAAGGGAGTTACCATTTTCTCGGATAGCCAATCGGCTATCCAACTTTGCAAAAATCCTGTATTTCATGATAGAACTAAGCATATTGATGTTAGGTTCCATTTCATACGTGATATTGTTGATGCAGGTGGAGTCAAGCTGTGCAAGATCCCGTCCGAGTTTAACCCCGCGGATATGGGTACCAAGTGTCTTTCTGCTGAGAAGCACTTGTCCTGTAAACGCGTGTTAAACTTTGACTGTGGATAACTGTGGGTTGCCTAATAAAGTGTTTGCCCGTTGTGTCTGTTGATATTCCGGGTGACCCGGCGATGATGAGTCTTGTCACAACTTTGTTTTGTTACTCTACACCACCTAGGACCAATAAGGTGGAGAATGTTGGAGGTATTGGTCCTACCAAGGCCTCCCTTCCACTTTATTAGCTGAGGCTTGCACCCTATTAATTTACTCCCTCTTTGACACCTTTACCTTGGTATATTACCTGATCAATAATATACCTGGAATCTGCCCCATTGCTTCTGTCCGCTGCACCCTCTCTTTTGGATTGGCTTATACCCGTGAGTGTCCTTGGCCATCTTGTGACTGTCTTTGTTGTCTGCCCATAGGCTGGCAGCCTACTATAAGTCAACCCCCCTTTTGTTTGTGAATTAAGCCTGCGAGAGTAACAATTCTATTGAGAGCAGTGTCTTCCTTCTTCCTCTTTGTGAGTTCCTTTGTGGTTTGAAGATGAGAGTTGAGAGATAGGTGTGATATAGCCTCCTCCTAGTGTGGTGTGTGAGAGTGTGTGTTGAAAGACCTGAGCCGGAGACGGAATCCATACCTTACAGTAGGTGAGTTTGCTCTTCTTCCCTCCAAGAGTTGATGTTTTTTATTATTATTTCCATCAATAGGTGAGTATACTCCTAAGATAGAAATTAAATTAACGCATGTCAGGTGTTTGATAATGTGTGTAAAAGGTAGGGAAAGAGGGAAATGCTGCTTAAATTGTACTTATGCGATGCTTTGTTCTACCTTTGATGATAGAAATATATATATTAAGTTTGATCTATTTTTTAAAAGTCTAATATATAGTTTGATTACTTAGTCTTTTTTCTTCAATTAAGATCACAAATAACCATTCATTAAACCCAAGTAATTGGTCTCAATAATTACTTATGTAATCATTAAGTACAGATTTCAAATGATGATAAATTTATACATGAAGAGGAAGAGTAGTTTAAGAAATTGTAAATTTTGCTAAAATATAGCTCAGGTGGAGCAAATGAGAGTGAGAAATTGCTGGAGTAAATTGGAGAATATGTTTCTATCATTGTACGTTGTGGCTAGAGAGCAACAACGTACCATGAGTTTGTTATATGTGTGGTGTATGCCTACAATCGGAGATGCACCCTCACCCTACTGGATATGTTTTTTGCAGGAGCATGATGGCCTTCTAGAACTAGATAACTCAAATATATAAATAAAATGTTAGAGAAAATATATTAAGTTGATTACTTAAGTTTTATCTATTCATTTTACCCCTCCCCACTTCTAATTTTCCTTCCTATTTCATCTAATGTCTTTCCATAAAACCCCAGCTCTTGCTATTCAAAAGATATACGGAGTATTCTTTGATAATTGAAAATGGAGCTTTTGTTGAATTTAATATGGAGTATTCACTCTGTAGTTTTATCACTTAATATACACTAGTATTGTACCCGTGCGATGCACGGGACAATAATATGTTTATATTTTTTGCATAGTCACTTTAAAATAGTTATAAGAATATGCTTAATTTAAATGTAAGTGAGTTTAAGGGTAAAAGACATAATAGCTAATAGTCAAGTTCCTTAGAAATTAAAATGACTTAATGTGAAAAAATATTATGTTTATTAAAAATTGTACATGAAATGATAAAATAGTACTCCGTATGTGATGGAAGCTGAAATCTATTTACTCATTAAGTGAATATTGTTATATAGGAAAGTATTGCACTACTTAGTATTACTCCCTCCGTCCCACTATGATTGTCCCATTTTATTATTTCGGTCCGTCCCACTAAGATTGTCTCATACCTTATTTGGTAAAGTTTGTGTAGTTCTAAATCATTCTTACTTTATTCTTACTTTATCAATTCAATATCAACCACATAAACCCACTTTTATTAATAACCGTGCAACTTTCTCTTGTCTCAAACTTAGGGGGATAGAGGTAATATAATATAAGGTAAATTTGAATTCACTTCACTTGGCCATAAAATGAGCTTAGCATAACATTTTTATGTATATTAGAGTATGTATTTTTAAATTGTCAATAACTTTTTCCTCAGAAAACAATAGTCAATAACTTGTGCAAAATTGTTTGTGTAAGATGTGATCTATTACACCATATGTGGTGATGACTGTGAAAGCTATAATGTCCTTTAAATTAAAAGAATAAAGTATTACGTAGTATTAGACTCTCCTAGTGTGAATACTTTTCAATTTAGCTCAATTAAAAATAGAATCAGAAGTATTACTGCAAATAAGTTGTTCAATTTGTCATATATGAGTAGGTGCATATTTATTAATTAAGGAGTATGTTACTTATTTTTATTGTCCATTAACTAATTAAATAAAGTCTATTTTTATGAGGCCAGTTGTTTACGATTCCTTCAAAGTGAATACGGTACGGTATACGATAGTATGAATCTATAAATTTAATTTCTTGACATTTCCCCTACTCCGTATATTTCAGAACAGATAATTATTTTTCAAAAATGCGTTTACTACATGAGTACCATATGAAGTAGTACGTAGTATGAAGTTTTTTTTTTTGCAAGATACCATATACGTAGTATGAAGGTTGAAAAACAAAGTAGGCAATGTTTTTAGTATTTTGAATGATATATATTTATACTTCCTCCGTCCCTTATAACTTTGTCAACATTCCTTTTTTGGATGTCTCATTAACTTTGTCACTTTTCCTTTTAAGTAAAAACATTTGTGATTCCAGCTAATTCTCTCTCCTCTACACAAACATCAACCACTTGGCTTTTACTTTATTAATCTTCATACCGGTCAAACTTGTCAAAGTTATTAGGGAAGGAGGGAGTATAATACTATGTATACAATAATCTACTCCGTATATACTCACTATCATCCCTAAACTGTAAGTTTAGTATTGTGTTTTGTTGTTTGTGGTTTGATTTTTATCTTATACTATCTTATAAGTTACTCCGTATAAGTCATACGATTAAGGGTCTGTTTGCAACAGCTTCTGCTTTTAAAAAGTGTTTTTTAATGAAATAAGGAGAAGTGATTAAATAAAAGTTGATAGTGTTTGAGAAAAAAGTGATTTTGAAAAGTAAAAGTGGGTAGTGTTTGGTAAAATAAGTGATTTTTGTGTAATACAAAAAGTAAAAACACTTTTGACGCGGAAGTCGGGAAAAATAAAAGTTGGAGTGTTTGGGAAAATAAGTGTTTTTTTAAAGCCAAAAGCTGGGAAGTGCTTTTTCAAAAGCAGTTGCAAACTAACCCTAAGAATACATTATTACAATGTTTACGGATTTTAAGCCATCTACGTGTATATATGCAACAGATGATCAGAACTTACGTAGTATTACACATTTATACTATTACAACCTGCAAATGATATTTATTCGTATATAAGACCCATATCACGTATGAGATTTGAAAAAACATATTTTTAACATGCCATAATCAAACGGGAAATGCGTACCTGTATGAGATTCTATGAAGATACATCTATCCCACACGTATTACCGTTGTATACATAAAGAATTGACATTTTTTTGCAGGGTATTTTTATTGCTCATGGAAAACCAAAGTTTCAAACTCCATTTCTACTGGAATTATTCTTCTCATTCTCATTGATAAACAAATGAAATAATACATGTGATTGTAAATGTACTCGAAATAATTTGAATAAGACAATGAACTTAACCCATAAAGAAAACAATTCGGAGAACAAAATATGTAGTAATTATTAAAGGAGTGCAAGCAGTTAAATTATCTGATTTAGAAGTACGTGACGATTTAGAACAACGTGTCTGCATGTGAAAGTTTACAAAATGCCCAATAGTTACCAAATAGTTACCAAAATTAGAAATTGCCTAGGGGAACAATTATGGGACATACGGTTCCCTTTTAATATATATATAGATAATACATGTAAAGGGGCCAACTTTCGTCTGAATCATTGTTGTTGTTATGCAATTGTCTCAACATCTAGGAGATGTAAAGTCTGCTACTCCATCTATTGTAGATGGGAAATAACCCTGTTAATTGTGATGAACTCTAATATCGTTTTCATGGCTTCTGTGTAATGAGGAATTAGTTTGTGAAAACATGGCGAATCTGCACTTCATCGGTAAACATACCAACTTAAAGAAGGGCATGTTGAGGAGGTTGAATATATGCTCATCTTTCTAAATATAATACTCCGTAGTGTTTAGTGCAATACATTTCGGTCGAGTGAATAAGTCAAAAGCTCCAAAGGCTAAATAGAACTACAAAATTAAGGTTATCAAACGGACCCATGTCGGATTTCAGTCAAGTTACACTTCTTTTTTCTTAGTTAAACGCAAAGATCGATAGAGGTGGTATGTTGTAATCCTTTTTTGAAAATCATACTCCGTACAATAGTTAACATTTCAATTATTTTCTGCTTTTTTCCATTAATTTCTGCAATTTTTGACATACGTTTCTCACATTTCACTCTCTGCTTACACGATTAGATGCAATTTGAAGGATTTTGTAGGCTCATTGATCAAGGTTTAATAGAAAAGCTTTCTAAGTTTCAAAA